CTCAGTGCCTTCTTTGGTCCAGAAATGTTGTGCATGACTACTCATGAATCTCTCATAGGATATGGTAATGCCATCTCATTTCAACTGTTTTATAGCAAACAGGTATAGCATAGTCCTTTCTAATGCAGACATTGTTGCATCTCATCAATGAAAATGAGTGACAATTTATGTCATTTCATTTTCAACCAGAATTCATTAAAATCCACACATGTCTTTATATTCATGATCAAAAACTGAAGGAAAAGATGGCAGATTCTGCCATCCCTAATATTCACTCAGCACCTTTTAGTGATGTGAATTTCCTCTGCACAGGATTCTCTTGCAGCTGGCATACTGCCTGACTATTTGCATCAATTTACACATTGCTTCATATTCAAAGTTGGGGGCCAATTGCCCTTTTAGACCAGAATTCTATTTCTGAAAGTCTCCAGCACCTGAAACCATACAGCAAGTGAACAAGAGCTACAGTGTAATGACAGAGTTTTGCTCTTCCTGCACCAACTGAGCAACTGCATTACAGACCACATAATAACACATACCAGGCCACTTAATGACAGCTGTTAGAGAAAAGAACAGCATACCAAAATACACTTATGTGAACTGGATTGTTTCTGTGTGAAATGAAATATTTCATGATATCCTTCAGGTTCTTAGAAAAGTTCTTGATAGAATGAGGTGCTATGGCCAACTGTCAGGGGCTTTATAGGGCATGTTATGTGCTGTGCTAAAGAGCCAGTTTGGTATAGTGGTTTGAGCACTGGACTATGTTTCTGGACGCCAGAGTTTGAATCCCTGCTCAGCCATGGAAACCCACTGGGTAACCCTGGGCAAGTCACTCTCCATCAGCCTCAGAGGATGGCAATGACAAGCCTCCACTGAAGAAACTTGCCAAGAAAATGATAGTTTCACCGTAGGGTCCCCATAAGTCAGAAACAATCTGAAGGCACACAACAACAACAAATATGCAGTGCTTAGTACTTTCCACCACTGTGCATTTCCACCCTGCCATCTTCCTCCTCACTGACATTCAAGAGCTCATTTATATCTGGACAGTTTGAGATAAAATTTGACCTGTACATTTCTGTATAGGAAAACAGATTGGGAAAGTGTAGGTATAAATGAAATATGGTAGAGAAAATGTAAGGATTGTTGATTTGAAGGAAAGAAAAATGAAGGATGGTTGTCTGAGGTGGAATGTCTTAACATATGCTTGAGAGGAAATGCATGGGTGTATAGTACAAGATATTTTTAAACTATGCTTTCAAAAGGGTGGGGTTTACTTTTTAATTACACTTACATACACACCACTTTTGCTGAACATTTCTTCCATCTAAATTGCCCTTTCTGTAATTCCAAATTGCATACCACTCGACTGAGCAACATGATTTGAACTGGAAGCAAGCCAGAATAGTTTTATTATTCCAGAGGGGGCAAAATATCCACCCTCATCTAGAGAGCCAGTGTGGTAGAGTGGCTAAAGTGCTGCATTAGGAATGGGAAACCTGGGTTCATATTCCCACCCACACTTGGTGGTTACCTTTAGCAAATATTGTGGGCAACTATGGAAGGAGTGAGGGCCAATTTTCAATGTAGGTACCCCAACAGTTGGCAACAGTGACATGCCTCACGTGACTGGAAGTGATGTTCTGTCACTTTTATTTTTGCTTCTTTGGAAGGGGGATTCAGGTATGTGGAGAACTGATGCATTTTGTAGTGGATTTGAACTGTATTTTGGTGGGTGTTAGGTTGTCGTTGTCGTTGTGCCTTTGAGTTGTTTCTGACCCTGAAGCAAACCTATCATGCCCAAGGCCAGTAGGTTTCCATGTCGAAGTAGAGATTTGAACCCTGCCATAGTCCAATGCTCAGACCCATGTGCTATGCTGTGTCATGCCCCCAATTCAATTGTGTGTGTGTGGGGGGGGGCGGGTTGTCAAGGATTTTGAAAAACTTCACCACCACCAATCCAAGGCTGCATGAAGTACATTGGTGTATTCTGCCAACCCTTGCCATAGTCTCATCTCTTTCCCCTTCCCCTACAGAGCTTCTCTGGAGAAAGAATAAATGTGCCTGAAGTGACTAAAATTAATGGCTGCGAGGGCGATCTGGCTGCGATTGACTAAAATTGATGTCTTGTCATTTCTGGTTTCTATTTTGGCTTATTTCAGCTGTTTTTGTCTTGAGGGGTTTGGTGTACATGGCAGGTGTAGGGGAGATAGAATCATTGTATTTTTCAGCAGGTCTGAGCTGTTTTTTTTTGGGGGGGGAGGAATAGTAAAAAAAACAAATAATTGGTGAACCTGGGGGATTCAGGAGGCTCCATGGGCTGGATGTAGCCATAGAGCACATGTTGCCCACTCTTGCATTGGGTTGATCTTTCCCTCACCTTTCACAAGATTGCTACAAGCATAGAGTGAGAGTATGAAAATAAGACCCAGTTATATTGCCTCTAGCACAGCAACTCCCAAACTCTGGTCCTCCAGGTGATTTGGACTTCAGCTCTCAGAAGCTAAAGTCAGCTTGGCCAGCAGTCTAGAAGGCCAAAGTTTGAGAACCATTGCTCTATCATCTTTCATTAGAGGGACTGTAGAATAGATGAATACACACAGGAGCGCGCACACACTCATATGGTGATGAGATTGCAGTTTTTCATCACTGAAACTATTTTGGTTTCTCATGGGCACATCTTAATTATATTAATCATTCTGTCTTAAATGGAATGTAAGATGAATGGTACACATTCTCAGAAAATGATCCCTCCCCCATGTCCATCATATTTATTTATTTAGAAATTATTATGTTATCCTGTCTTTCCACCATAAATACTGCTTAACAGCAGTCAACATTAAAGCTACATAAAATACATTATTTATTGATTTTGAATATATATAAATACAACATAAATAAGTCCTATAAAAATTAAGAAATAAATAGCACCCAACTTTAAAAACA